GCCCACCTGCCTTCAGCTTCGCCTCTGGTCGGCCATGCGCGGGCCCATCGTCAGGGAATGGGAGGCGCAACACCACGAGGTCTGGTACATTGGCGGGGAGCTCAACACGTGTGAGAGGGCTGGCTGGGTTCACCAGACCCTCACGGCCCTGGCCTATGAGAAAAGCCTCAGCACGGGCACGGTCCTGGGCGACCTACGGAAGTTCTACGATAACATCAGCCACAAGGAGCTCTTGGTGGAGGCGCAAGCCACGGGCTTCCCCGTCAAGCTCATCGGGGCTTGCTGCGTCACGTACTCAGGCTACAGGGTCATCACGGTTGATGGGGCCTGCAACTCGCCCTTTCGAACTACGGGCACGGTGCTTGCAGGCTGCTCCTGCGCCACGGGGATTGCCAAGCTTCTCCTGTTCAGATCTTTCAAGAAGGTTGCGGCCTTCTACCCCAGCGTGCGGCTGGGCAGCGTCGTCGACGACTTCGCGCTCCAGACCGTTGGCACCACGGGCATGGTGAAGGCAGTGCTAGGACCCGCCACGCGCATGCTGTTGGGTTGCTTCGACGAGAAGCGGGCGCCCGTCCATTTCGGGAAGCTATGCTACCTCACTCCCGACGCGAAGGTTGCGAAGCAGCTGGAGTCGGAGTGGCCCGCCGAGGACGGCAGGGCGCAGCGTGGCAGGCTGCTAGGCAACGACGTGCACGACGGGCGCTGGAGGCGCACCGCCATCGGGGCGCAGCGCGTCGAGGATGCGCTGGCAAGGTCTCGGCGGCTGCAGGTCCCGAGGACGGCTGGGGCCAAGGTCGCCACGGCGCAGAAGGGCGGCCCCACGGCAGCCGCCACCTGGGGCTCGGCCACGACTGGCCTCGCCCCCATCGGTCCTACACGGGCTACGGGTGGCTGCAGCGCGTGGCGAGGGGCCATTTGCGCCAGGTGCATCCGTCGGCCTGCGGCTGAGGTGTTACCCCAAAGGCATCGAGAGGGACCCAGCGGTGGTGAACGCTGGCCAGGTCGTGCTGCAGTTCGGCATGGCGCTCTGGCTGGGCTACCCCACTCCGTTCGCCCTCAACGCGCTGCTGGAGAAGGCCAAGCAGCGGTTCGCGACGGCGAAGCGGCCGTGGGCAACCTGCAGGGATCCCGTGGCAGCCTTTTTCCTCACCATCAGCAGGCTCGGCTGGTCCATCGAGGGCGGCAGGTACGTCACCACTGACCAGGGGCTGGAGGTCGACCTCGCCAGGGTCTCGCCGTCTTTCAGCAAGGAGCTGGCAGAGGGAGCGGCCAAGAGGTGGTCCGACCGCGACGCCACCTTCAGGCTCTACCCCCATCAGAGCTCGGATTTGTACTGGGGTTCGCTGCAGCGGCTGGGCAGGACCAAGGAGTCGCTCGGCTGGCAGCAACACCAGCGAGAGGCCCTCCACTCGGTCATCTCAGGAACGGTACTCTCCAAGACGCGGCTCTACAAGAGAGGCGTGGCCTCCGAGTGGGTCTGCCTCATGTGCAGGGGTGCTCCTGGCACACTCTGGCACAGGCTGCGCGGCTGCGATGGTCGCGCGGCCTTTCGCAAGGACGAGGCCTCGCCCGAGCTCCTTCGACACGCGGAGGTGGCACGGGCTGCAGGAGGCAACTGCGGCGAGATGTTCGGCAGGTGCCTCTTCCCGTCGCTCGACCATGTGATCCCGAGGCGCGACCCTGATGGAGACCCAGTTAGCTGGTACCGGCGCCCAGCCTCGGGGCACCTCGCAGGCCTCATCTTTACGGACGGCGGCGCGGTTGGCACGCGGCGGCCAGAACTGCAGCGCGCGGGCTGGTCGCTCGTACAGTGTGACAGGCATGGGCGCCTGGTTGCTGCAGCATGGGGATGGGTGCCCCTCTCCATGGCGCCGCGGCAGGAAGCGCGGGACGGCGAGGGCTACGCGTGCCACATGGCGGCCTTCCTCTGCGAGGGCCACGTCGACTTCCAGACGGACTGCGCAGGGGCGGTGGACTGCGCCCCGAGGGGGGCAGCATGGGCATGCCGCCCTGGGTCGCCGAGGGCCCACATGTGGAACGCGTTCTACGCCTCCTTCGACGGCTCGCGCAGCTACACGGTCACCAAGGCGCCGGCCCACGCTACCGCTGCCGACGTTGAGGCAGACCGCGCGACCTGGCGGCAGCGCGCAGGCAACAGGCTCGCCGACGAGGCAGCGAAGGAGGGCGCGAAGCTGGCGCTGACAGACGACCAGCTGGACTTTGCCGACACCCTCGACCTCATCGCAAGACAGGCGATGATCTTCACGGGTAAGCTCCACGCGCGCATGGTGGATCGGAAGCAGCTCGATCACGCCAGCGACGTCATCCTGGAGTTCTCGGAGCCTGAGGCGAGCTACGAGGAGCCAGAGGCCAGCGGGGGCCACGCTGCCGAGGCCTCCTGGGGGGCGGCTGGCGCGGCGGTGGTGGCCCTAGCAGCTGCGCGGGCCTCGGCGGAGGGCCACGAGCCGCCTGCAGCTCGACGACCTCGGCAGCCTTGGTC